CCACTTGCAACCCCCTTCCAGAAAAACTAGAAAATTATTGTAAAGGTCGACCCACGGCCGAACCTATAGACCGTAGGTCAGACCAAGAGCCGTGGTCCTGGTCCATGGATTGAGACCCCTAGAACTCCCTCTCTCAAAGACAAATGACCGTTGACAGGATAGACCGTAGGTTAGTCGACGGTCCGTCAGTTGGCTCCGGCAACTTTTAAGTCAGGAGTAGTTTGGTCTTTTCCCTATGCCTTGGTCACCTAAACTATGTCGTTTAACCCCTAAACTACGTCGTTTTAGTCAGTTTTAGCCTAGTAACTTAATTAGAAATTAACTTAGTCAAGTCATTCTCCAAAATTCATCCATGTCAATGCACATCACGCCAGTCATGCCTTTATACCCCTGGAAAGGTATATTGGGACCTCTCGATGGGGTGATAAATCAGACTCCAAGATAGTTCTTGTGGTTTTATTTCAGTTAATAGTAGCTCCCACAGTCAGATTCTAGTGCATTGACCAGGTTATCAGTTATAGTTCAGTATTCAGTCCTAGAATGTTATGTACTTGGTCATTGCATTCAGTAGCTCAATATTCTATATATTTCAGTATTTACATCATTTTCAGATTATATCAATGTTCTTATTGCTTTGTTCAGTTATGTATATGTATATAGTGTTCAGCTTTATCCTATCATGCATGCTCAGTACCTTTCAAGTACAGACGCATACTCTTCGCTACATCTTCTCATGATGTAGGTTCATGTCCTCAACATTCAGATCACGCATAGATCGGTTCCCGATTTCCAGTTCAGCAACATCAATGGTGAGTCTTCATTCTTCGAGGACTACATACATGCTTCCTTTTTACATTCAGTCTTTCAATTTCAGTTTTGCTAGAAGTTAGCTGGGGGCATGTCCCAGCATCTCTAGTACATTAGAGGCTTTTATTGAGACATAGTTATATTCAGTTTTTGTTTGAGTTTGATCTTTTACTTGTTATTGAACTCTCAGTTTTATATATCAAAACTTAGAATGGGTATTCCCCATTATTTCCCTTTATGTCATGTTTTAATCTTCCGCACAATATTTCTATTTTTTAGTAAATCTATAAGTATGCTTATGATATGCCAGTAGGGTTAGCTTGGGGTCACTCATGTTACGTCAAGGGGCTAGACTCTAGGCGTGATAAAGTTGGTATCATAGTACTAGTTTCAAGAGTCCTAGGATATCTGAAAAGCCGCACTTAGTATGGTCCCTTTATTGAGTGTGAAGCGCGTAGAATTATGTACTCATGTAGTCTTGTAAGTCTCATCTGTTGGGCATCAGTTTTAGTGATCACGCCACAGGCACGTCTTTATACCCTGACAAGGTATATTGGGTCCTCTTGATAGGGTGTATACATCGAACTCTAGTTTACCTCACGTGGTTTCGGTAGGTTAATATTATATCCCATAGTTAGACTCATGTTGCATTGACCATGTATTTAACATTTATATTAGTATTATGTTCAACATGTTATCTTCCTGATTAGTACTTAGTTATTTCATCCAGCTCAGTTTTAATTTATGCTCGGTATATCTACTTCCTTGTTTAGTTGTTATATTGTTCAACTTAGCATATATCTTGCATGCTCAGTACTTTCAAAATATTGACACATATTTTGTTCTATACCATTGTATGAAGTAGCTTCAGGCACTCATCAACGAGATCGCGCTTAGCTCGACTTTAAGTCCATATTCAGCAGTTTTAGTGGTGAGTCCTCATAGTTCGTGGACAATATACAAGCTTTACTTTTCAGTCTTTACTTTTCATTATTTACCTTTTAATTTCAGTCTTGTTAGAGTTAGCTGGGGGAATGTCCTAGAAACTCAATTCGGTTAGAGGATTTCAGATATAGAGTAGATTAATCTCAAGTTGTTAGGTATTGTTTCAATCATCATTATACTCATCATATATTTGATATATTCAGACTTATTGGTATTTTCCCTTTTTCACATATTAACTATTTTTAGCTTTTGCACAGGGCATGATCTAACTGAACTTGTATAGATATGTCAGGCCATAGGGTAGATTGGGGTCACTCGTGACACTAGGCACTGTGTAGCGATCCTCGGGGCATGACAAACTTGGTATCACAGTATCAAGTTTAAGTGTCGTAAGGTGTCTTAAAGTTGCATCAAGTAGGGTCTTCTTCATGGGTTTAAAGCGCGCCACACCAATGTGGGAGGAGCTATGAGACGTCATTAAGAAAAACATCCCTTCTTTCTTCTCCATGTCATGCTATATAGTATACAACCTATTTAATCTCCTTCAAACTCCTATTTTTCGCATTGTAGAAAATACCTCCGAAAAAAGCTAACCTAAGGAATCAGGCATCAAATCCAGCAGACCTATTGAATGAGCAAGTCACACATGCCAAGTTTAGGGCTACTTTCCAAGTGCTTATTCAGGCCATGACCACCCAGGTCAATTGGTAGGTTGTGGCCTTAACTCCACCATAGACTAACACTACTACAACAAGAATCCGGGACATCACTCGGATGAATCCTCTGTAGTTTCATGGTCTAAGTCATAAGATAATACACAACAGTTCCTCAATGACATCCAGAAGGTAAAAGACATTATAATTGTCACTTTGGTCGAGAGTGCAGATTTGTCCACCTATCAATTGAAGGGACTGGTCTACATTTTGTACCAATAGTGGAAGGGTAGTAACTTAGTGCATATAGGTCGATTAATCTCCTACCTAAGGCCATGAAAATGATTTCCAAAGGGTATAGCTATCTTGTTTGGGTTGAGGATTCAAACTCTTTTACCCCAACCCTTGAGTCAATACTAGTGGTGGATGAGTTTCTAAAACTGTTTCAAGAAGATCTTTCCAGAGTTCCTCCCGAAAAAGAAATTGACTTCGGAATAGATCTCCTTCCAGATAACTAGACTATTTTGAATCCTCCTTACAGGATGGCTCAAGCTGAATTTAAGTAATTGAAAGAAAAGTTGAAAGACCTTTTAAATAAGGGCTTCATCAGACTAGTATCTCTCCATGGTGTGTTCCAATGTTGTTCATGCTTAAGAAAGACAGTTCTCTCAGGATGTGCATTGACTTTCGTTAGTTGAACAAAGTCACAATGAAGATTAAATATCCCATCCCCAGGATTGATGACTTGTTTAACCAATTTCAGGGTGCTAGATGCTTTTCTAAGATAGGCTCAGATCTGGCTATCATCAGCTCAGAGTTAGAGATAGTTACATATTTAAGATAACATCTAAGACTCGGTATGGTTTCTATGAATTTGTAGTTATGTATTTTGGATTAACAAATGCTCATATAACTTGTATGGAGTTAATGGACAGGGTGTTCAAACAATATTTAGCCTTGCTCGTCATCATCTTTATTAATGATATCCTCATTTATTCTAGGAATGAAGAAGAACATGTGAATCATCTGAGAGTGGTTCTTCAAACCCTTAAAGATCGCCACCTATTCACTAAGTTCAGGAAATGTGAACTCTGGTTATAGTCGGTCACTTTCCTTGGTCATGTAGTATCCAACGAAGAGATCTGAGTGGATTTTCAAAAAATTGAGGCAGTACAACGCTAGCCTAGACCTACCTCTCTAACTTATATCAGAATTTTCTTGGGTTTGACCGGTTACTACATGAGGTTTGTTGAAGTATTTTCATCCATCGCTGCCACATTGACCAAGTTGATTCAGAAAAAGGTCAAGTTCCAATGGTTAGATGATTGTGATAAAAGCTTCTTAAAACTCAAGACCAGGTTTACTACAACTTCTGTCATGACCCTACAGGATGGTTCAAACAGTTATGTCATTTATTGTGATGCATCCAGGGTCAGTCTAGGTTGTGTGTTGATGCGGCAAGGTAAGATCATAGCTTATGCTTCCAGACAGCTTAAAGTCCATGAGAAGAACTACACGACTCATGACCTTAAGCTTGCAACAGTAGTGTTTGCCTTGAAGATTTGGATACACTACTTGTATGGTGTTCATGTTGATGTGTTCATAGATCATAAGAGCCTTCAGTATGTGTTCACCCAGAAAGAGTTGAATCTTTGTCAGAGGATATGGATAGAATCCTCAAAGACTATGACATGAAAGTGCTCTACCATGCGGGTATAGCCAATGTAGTGTCTGATGCCCTCAGTAGATTATCCATGGTAGTGTGGCACATGTTGTGGGAGAGAAGAAAGAATAAGCTAGAGATGTTCATCGGCTTGCTCGCTTAGGAGTTTTCCATATGGACACATCAGATGGTTGTGTGATTGTCCAGAATGGATCAGAATCTTCATTGGTAGTAGACGTTAAGGAGAAACATGATAGTGATCTTATATTGCTTCAGTTCAACAGTGCAGTTCATCAGTAGAGAGATGAGGTTTTCTCCCAAGGAGGAGATAGTGTGCTTCGTTACAGGGTCGTTTATATGTTCCTAATGTCGGTGAGTTGAAACTGCATATCCTTACAGAAACCCAACATTCTAGATATTCAATTCATTTGGGTGCCACTAACATGTATAGTGATGTACACAAAGTCTATTTGTGGAATGGCATGAAGAGAGACATCACATACTTTGTGGATAAGTGACCTAACTATCAACAAGTTAAAGTAGAACATCAGAAACTAGAAGGTGTGACTCAAGATATTATCATTCCTACGTGGAAGTGGGAAGTGATAAACATGGATTTCATTACGGGTTTACCTTATACTCGTAGATAGCATGACTCCATTTGGGTGATAGTGAAAAGAGTCAATAAGTCAACTCACTTCTTGGAAGTCAAGACAACAGATTCAGTAGAGGATTGTGCTAGACTCTACATTAGGGAAATAGTCACGTTCCATGGGTTTTCCTTGTCTATCATCTCACATAGAGGTCCTCAGATTACATCTCATTTATGAAGATCATTTCAAAAAGGTCTTGGTACTCAGGTAAATCTTAGTATCGCATTTCATCCGCCGATGGATGGTCAAGAAGAGCTTACCATTAAGACCTAAGAGTACATGTTAAGAGATTTTGTGATCAATTTGAAGGGTAGTTGGGATGATCACATACCTCTCATAGAGTTTGATTATAATAACAGCTTCCATTCCAGTATTCAGATGCCCCCTTATAAGGCAATGTATGGGCGTAGATGCAGGTCTCCTATTGGTTCGTTTGAAGTAGGTGAAGCAGCCTTGATTGGACTAGATCCGATTCATGACGCTATGGAGAAAAATCATCTCATCAAAGATAGACTAAAGAAAGCTCAAAGTCATTAGAAGTCTTATGGAGATGTGAGGCGAAGAGACTTAGAGTTTGAAATCGATGACCGGGTTTTCCTGAAAGTGTCACCCATGAAAGGGGTGATAAGATTTGGCAAGAAAGGGAAGATCACTCTCACGTATGTAGGTCCTTACAAAATCATGGAAAGGGTTGGTAATGGGGCTTATGAGTTAGAGTTGCTAGAAAAACTATCTCCGGTTCATCTAGTCTTTCACATTTCCTTGTTAAAGAATTGTGTAGGTGATCCGACATCGATAGTACATTTAGAGAGTGTTGTTGTGAAGGATAACCTAACCTTTGAGGAGGTTCCACGTGAGATTCTTGATCGCCAGGTTCTTTGGTTGAGAAATAAGGAAGTCAATTCTGTAAAGGTATTGTGGAGGAATCAGTCCGTTGAGGGAGCTACATTGGAAGCACAAGCAGACATGATGGCCAAGTATCCTCACCTCTTTTCTTCTGATTCAGTTTCAATTTGAGGTAATAGTCTATCTCTCCAGTCTATTAGTTAATCTTGTATAAATTCCCTCTCGTTATCTTGTTCCCTCAGTTATCCTTGTATTTTTTCATATGTGCATGTTCATGAAACTCAATTTAGTTAGATATCAGTTTCTAATACTGAGTGGTAGGGATTGCAACTCTTTCCTCAAAATTCATCTTGTTTAGTCTTTATTCGAGGATGAATGATCCCAAAAGGGAGATATTATAACACCCTAGACTTTGAGAAAGGGCTAAAATTGAAAACGGGTAAGACTACAAACCCAAAATTGAACATGGACCCTTCATGGCACCCTAGACGGGCCGTTTAGGGGTCCACAACTTCTTAAAAGCTTTTTAGATGACCATCTAAGACTGCCCTGGCAGGGGTCACCTGGACGGCACCTTAGACGATCCGTCTAGGGCTTCACGGCTCGTAAAGGGCATCTTGAACCACCCTTCAGGGGCTTTCTGGGAGGGAGTCACCTAGACGGTGCCTTTAACGGCTCGTGGTAACTTGGACGGCCTGTTAAGTGGACCGTACAAGTAAACCTAATGGTGAGGTTGCACCCAAGACCACTGTGAAGGACCACAGACACCTAGACGGTCTGTGAAGCTTCACACGGAATGTGAAGTCGTCCGCAAAAAAAGACTTATATGACTTTGAGTTTTGGGTCAACTTCAAACGATCATATCTTTTAGTACAAAATGAATTAGGTGGCCCATGAACTATCAAATTAAAGGTCTTTGAATCCTCTTTCCAACTCCATGAAGTTTTCCTAATTCCGAGCTCGGAGTGGAAAATTTATGCTTATTTAGTGAAGCCCTATCGGGGCGTCAAGCCCCTCGTAAAGGTCACTTCTTCATTTTTAAGTCATGGTCGTATCACTATTTTCCTTTATATGTTTGGTACCTAAACTACGTCGTTTGGTACTTAAACTATGTCATTTCACTTAGTTTAAGCCTAAATAATTAGTCAGAAACTACCAAACACCCTCATTCTCCTAAAATCATTTAACTTACAAAGAAAAAAAAAAGAAACACGCGATAGTTTATCGCAAGAACAAGAAGAGGTCTTCATCAAGTTCAGCCCCGAAAGGCAAAGGATTTCTCTATAGTTTTTATCACAAGGTATGTGGGATTTTACTAGTGAGTTCTTGTTACCAATTAGGTCCCTAGAATTTAGTCAATTCTTTAGTTTCTCCATAAATTGTTCTGAGCTAGGTTTCCTAAATCTTACGAATCCATTGAAATTTAGTTGTTATAGTTTCTATATTACTGATCACATGTTACTTGGAGACTTATATGGCCCATGTATAGAACTCAAAACCCTAAATTATGTCCATTAACAATATTTCCTGAATTATACTTGCTAGGTAGATGAGTCAGAAAATCATGCTTCAGAATTCAAATGCCATATCTTTCGGTATATGTATGTTTCATTCTTAGATAATAACCAGTATTTTAAGCTACTCAGTATGTCAGTTGCATTTTATCTTTACATTCATATGGGAGTAGACTTAACACTGAGTTGGACTAGAGTTCACCATACCCTCAAGTCCTAGAAATATGTGCCCCCATAGGTTTATAAGTTCCTGCTGTTGGGGATCAATTTTAGTGATCATGCCAAAGTCGTGCCGTTATACCCTGACAAGGTCTATTGGGTCCTCTAGATGGGTCATATACATCGAACTCCACATTTATCTCATGTAGTTTAGGTCGGTTAATAGTATCTCCCACAGTCAGAGTCATGCTGCATTGACCATATATTCAACAGTTACTTAAGTATTCAATTCAATATGTTCTCTTAATGATTAGTACTTAGTCATTGTATCCAACTCAGTTTTCAGTTATGTTCAATATGTCTATTTCCATGTTTAGTTTCTATATTGTTTGGCATATCATCTATCCTGCATGCTCAGTACATTCAAAGTACTGACACATACTTTTGCGTTATATCATTGTATGATGAAGGTTCTAGAGCTCAGCATCCAAATCGTGCTTAGCTCGACTTCCAGTCAGTTCAGAAATATCAGTGGTAAGTCCTCACAGTTCAAGGTCAATAGACATGATTTACTTTTTATTCTTTACTTTTCAGTTTCAGTCTTGTTAGAATTAGCTAGGGGCGTGTCCCAACAACTTAATTCAATTAGAGGCACTCAGACATAAAGTAGATTCACTATGACTTGTTAAGTATTGTTTAAGTCATCACTATACTCTTTATTTAGTTGATATATTTCAGACTTATTGGGTTTTTCCCTATTTCAGATATTAACTATTTTAGCTTCCACAGAGAGCATGATTTAACTGAACTTGTATAGATATGTCAGGCCATTGGTTTGCTTGGGGCCACTCGTGACAATAAGCATCGTGTCGCGCTTAGGGGGTAGCCTCGGGGGATGACATTACCCAATCAAAGTTAGGATTTATTTCAATTTTCATGGTTCCTTTTCAATTTTGATCAAATTGATTGTTTTCTATCTATTTATGCATGAATTGAAATAATTACATGTTTTGAAGTTAAATCCACATGAACCCATGAATTCCCCCATAAAATTTAGACTATGAGCACATGATTAAGTTTATAAATTGTGGAATATGAATTTATAAAGATATGTATGTTCTTTCTATGGAATTGATATGAATTATTTAAGGTTTCTTTGAGAGTAAAGCATTTATGTTATTGTTGTGAAAGGTTATTCTCACACATGAAGGATTCATTGGGTAGAAAGGTTTTTCTTAACTAAATTTGTATCAAGATTTAGGAGATACTCTAAATGAACTCTAGCTTGGATTGGCTACATAAATGTGCCTTTCCATGGGTAATATGATGAATATGATTAATGACTATTCCATGGGATTTATGCTTAGCACTGAGTGGACTACCGACGATTACCCATGTCCCGCACACTATGTTCCACCAAAGGATGATTATCTTAGATAGACATTAGCTAGTGGATCCACTTTAGCCCAGACTTATGGTTCTTATCTGGGCAAGTAAGGAAACCCCTTTTTGTTGTGGGACACTTACCAAATTCCATGGTATAGCTCACATAGTCAATTTCAGTTAATGAAAAACTTCCCACAATAATGAATTATGGTTACTTTCTAAAAGTATCTCTCAAATGAGTTTTAAAGATGTTTAGGTTGCATTGACCATGATTATGACATATTTTATAGCATGTTATTTTATGATTTTGCTTGGTCACTGCATGTCATGTAAAGTCCCTTTTAGCATGATTTCATAACTGCTATGCATTGCTATCATACTTAGTACATTCCATGTACTAATGCATACTTGTGTCTACATTGTTTCACTAATATAGGGTCTGACGCTCCTATTCAGCAAACTCGTGGCTAGACATCCCTTGAGTGCTTTGGTTGAAGATAGGTGAGTCCTCATGTTCTGAGGATCGAGACTCATTTATTGCTTTATGTCATTTTCATTTCAGACTTGTATGTGATGTATGGGTTAGGTCCCAATCACTTTCATTATGATTTATTATATGGCTTGAGACTCATCTTAGACTTTCATTTTTTTGTCAAACTCTTTATGATATATGACTATCTTTTTAAATTCTTTATATTCGACTATCTTGTATGATGTACTAAGTGGCTTGTGTAGGGCCTTTCGGGGTTTTATATGTCATGTTACACCTAGGGTATACTTTGGGTCATGAAAATTGATTAATATAATGTTGGTTTGATTGGTTTCCGTTGGCTCTTCATTATTTAACGTATAATTTGAGGTTGCAAATTCTTTTTTAGCTTATAATGGAAGAGATTAGAGAGAACTGATAATTACTTGATTTAATTCCTTTATAGTTGAAGCTTGGTTGAATTAAATTTGTAGATTGAATCTTATCGCAATGCATGTTGGTGTTTGATAAAATCCACATGAAATATGATTGACAAATAGTATCATTATTTTAAATCTAGCATACCCTTTGACAATCAACTTATTTAAGCAATTAACAATACCCATTTTGTGAAATTAGCATCCATTGAAGCACACTCTTAAAATTATTTTCTTACTTGATACAAAGCCATATTTTAGGCTTTGCATGTGAGACTTATTAACATCTTGTTAATTATTTAGGTTTCGAAATCAAATTCTTAGTGGAACCCCCCCCCCCCCCCTAGTTACTTAGATCCATAAATTGGATCAAAATTCTAGTGCATAAGATTACATCATACGGTGAATTCCTTTTATACATTCATTTGGGATCAATCCCAACTTCTCTTTGAATTATATTGCAAGTGATCGTCTACACAATAATTTGTAAGGTGTGCAGTAGAACACTATAACCCGTAAAACCTTACACGGTCCATTGATCCATCTCTAGAAGTCACTGTTGAACTTTGTTTCATGAGACAATCTACAGTTCGTAGAACTTTTTACATGTCATTTGATTGTCCGTAAAACTAAGACTTAACTCAGGTCTTCAAGGCTTTGTTCCATGGGCTAATCTTTCATCCATTGATAGTTTCACGGGTCGTATGATTGTTTGTAGAACTCAAACTCCTGCAAATTTTCAATTTTCCCCGCTTTGCTGGGGTTGATGTAAACTTAGAATTTTTCTAAGGTGTTACAAGAAGGAGGTGGAATTTTTGTTTGTTGAGAGTTGAATCAAGGCTTTTGAGGTGCCAAAGAAGAATTTAATTAAAGCTCCAATCCTCATTACTCCTAATTGGGAGATGCCTTTTAAGTTGATGAATGATTCACATGATGTAGTTATAGGTGTTGTGCTTGAAGAGAGGAATCAGAAGGTCTTCCATTCATTCTACTATACTAGTATGACTTACGACTCTACTCAAGTGAACTACACCGTGACTGAAAAGGAAATGTTTTCCTTATGCTTTGAATTTGAGAAGTTCACGTTATATTTGGTGCGAACCAAATATATTGTTTACATTGTCCATGTAGCTATTAGATACTTGTTCAACAAGAAGAATGCAAAGACAAGACTTATAAGGTGGCTCTTACTACTATCAGAATTATAACATGTGGATTATCCTTGTGGTTGTGGACTACTGTTAAAGTGTGTTGATGTTGTAGGTCTTACTTCTAATCATTCAAAAGTGGTCATCAAGTTCATAAAGAAGCACATATTCACTCATTCAAAACTCCTAGATATATTATTAGTGATGAAGGTTCTCACTTTACAAGTAGTTAAGTGAAGAATGTATTGGCTAAGTAGGGAATACAACACAAGGCGGTGACGGCATACCACCCGTAGAATAGTGTCCAAGTAGAAGTGTCCAACATAGAGGTTAAATATATCTTGTAGAAGACTATGAATGCACAAATAAAGGACTAGGAAATGAAACTTGATGAGGCCTTTTGAGTATACAAACCAAGGTACAAAACGCCTATTGGGATTTCTCCTTATCGAATGGTGTTTAGTAAGGCATGTCATCATCTAGTGAAGCTAGAGAATCAAGCTTATTAGGCTTTCAATAAGTTGAATGTTGATCTAGAGCTAGATG